ATACACTGTCATACCAGCTGGCCATTTGTTCGACCTGCACTCCTTGGGGGGGTTTCTGGCACACATGGGGTGGTTACCAAGTTTAGTATTTCACCTGACTGCTGTCCAGAAGGCCATCATTGACACCCTCAAGCAAGAGGGTAAGACACAGAAAGACATTTCTGAACAATCGGCTGTTCCCAGAGTGCTGTATCAAGGCACCTCAGTGGGAAGTGTGTGGGAAGGAACAAGTGTGGCAGAAACCGCTGCACAGCCAGAAGAGGTGACCGGACCCTGAGGAAGATTGTGGAGAAGGACCGATTCCAGACCTTGGGGGACCTGCGGAAGCAGTGGACTGAGTCTGGAGTAGAAACATCCAGAGCCACCGTGTACAGGCGTGTGCAGGAAATGGGCTACAGGTGCCGCATTCCCCAGGTCAAGCCACTTTTGAACCAGAAACAGCGGCAGAAGCGCCTGACCTGGGCTACAGAGAAGCAGCACTGGACTGTTGCTCAGTGGTCCAAAGTACTTTTTTCAGATGAAAGCAAATTTTGCACGTCATTCGGAAATCAAGGTGCCAGAGTCTGGAGGAAGACTGGGCAGAGGGAAATGCCAACATGCCTGAAGTCCAGTGTCAAGTACCCACAGTCAGTGATGGTCTGGGGTGCCATGCCAGCTGCTGGTGTTGGTCCACTGTGTTTTATCAAGGGCAGGGTCAATGCAGCTAGCTATCAGGAGATGTTGGAGCACTTCATGCTTCCATCTGCTGAAAAGCTTTATGGAGATGAAGATTTCATTCTTCAGCACGACCTGGCACCTGCTCACAGCACCAACACCACTGCTAAATGGTTTACTGACCATGGTATGACCTGAACCCCGTAGAGAACCTGTGGGATATTGTGAAGAGAAAGTTGAGAGACGCCAGACCCAACACTCTGGATGAGCTTAAGGCCGCTATCACAAAGTGCGTTCTTTGCTCTGAGCCAGCATGATGAACAAGGGAACGGTGCCACTAACTCAATTCAGGTGTTGCTTTCCATCCTAAGGGTCTACATAGGGGGCGGGCGTTTTACGTGAACGGACCAATCTGATTGGCCGCATATCAGAGGGGCTACATTTGATTGGTCAAATACTTCCGCGTAAAAAACAGCTGGTTTACAAAACGTTGATGTATGACACGGATGGAAATGTTGAACCAAATATTTATCGCCATTTTTGACGTGCTTTGCGATGGGGGGGCCTATCGCATGTCCCATTGTCCCGGTCACGATAATTTTTCGATATATTGTGCAGCCCTATCTGACAGACAGTTAGAGAGGGAGATTGGTGTAAGGGATGAATTTAGATTGGAGATATACAACTGAGTGTCGTCAGCGTAACAGTGAAAATTGATTTTGTATTTGCAGATTATATGCAGGGGTGGAAATTTAACTACACAACCAACTGGCCAGCCGGGCTGATAAGTCAGAAAAGTTACCGGCCCCGCAGGTCATCTGCTAAAATGAGTAAAAATCACAACTGGAACAAATAGAATAAAAATAGAATAAAAAAGAAACCGTTTTTTTTTTTTCAAACTGACATTTTGAGAAAAATTAAAAATAAATAAAAGGAAATGACGAAAAAAACAAAAGATGAAGTTAAAAAGCTGAAGTTTTTTTAAAGATTTAACCCTCCCACTGTCTTAATGGGTGAGCCGGATCGGATCGTTTTTTGGATCAGCAGAAAAAAAAAGAAAAGAAAAAACTTCTTTTATTATGTAGAATTGCAACATTTTCTGCTGTAGTGGAAAAAATTTGTTAATTATGACCAATAAGATGTGATTTTCCATATAAATATGAATAATCAATCTGATTCATCTTTGAATGTTTAATCAGAAGATTCTAGAGTTCTTTACTTCTTTAGGGACCATAAACACACTTCGTATTAATTCAGACAGAGTCGGTATATAGTTTATAAAATGAATTTATTTCTTTTTCTAAACTAATCATTTATACATGACAAGATATGAATAATGAGATGTGGTGTGGTGGATGTGAGGTGTTGTGATGGAAGCTAGATGTTGTAGCAACCGTTCTGTGTATCTGAGAGAAACTGTGAACTCTGGGTGTAAAAGAATTAGTTGTTTGGTTCTAAACGAGAGTTGTTTATTTAAAAACAGCATCAGACGCAATCTGTCGTGCCAAGTCTACGCACCCTTGGTGTGCAAGCTGGAATGCTCATTTCCATCTAAGGTTGATGTTTGTTTGGCTCTTAGAAGAGCCGGTTGTCTGGTATCAGCCGCAGCGTTGCAAAGGTTTTGACTTAAGGTCAAAGGAGATTGTTTCAAAAGAGGCTTCTTTCCTGATTTGGCCGGAACGGGAGTCAGCTGAAAACTGAATTAATCGAGAAGTAATTCTTGTTTTAATAAACCACGATGTAATGAGTTTTGGCCAAGTTTGGCAAATCAGAATTTGACACGTTTCTGAGTATTTACCAACATCCCTCAGAAAGCCACGCCTTCCTCAGATACAAAAATGTTTTAACACTTTGTGAATGAGAATGTTTAAAACTCTTATGTGAGGTGAATATTAACCTTAATGAGTGAGTGTAGACAATGATTAATTTGTTAAATCAACACATACTGATTTGTGAAATAAATGGATCATTGTAAGAACAATATTCATTTTAAATTCACTGATTAAAGCACAGATTATTCAAACATTTGATTAAAACATCTTGTTCATTCATCACATGTGGATATTTAACTTAGAACTATAAAATCCTGTAGGGTCTTCCAGTAGCTAGTGAGGAATTGCAGTCTGGCTCCTGAGTCGGACCTTGGGACAGATTGTTTATGTCTGCGTTGAGGAACAATAAGTGGGCAGAGGTTGATTTGTGTGTCTGGATCCTCCCGCTGGTGCAGCCTTGATTTTGCTGTTTCTGGTGTGTATGAAAGGTTATACTGTGTTAATTAGATGGTGAAAAATTGACCCTTTTGGTACGTTGCAATGATCAATTTGAAACTTGCTATAAAAGCAGGAGTTCCAAAGTACGTTTCACGGGACGTACCACCCCATCCCTCCTTTCACTGCCATCGGAGTTATGTGTGTATGGCGCTGCATCGCGCTGTCAGACTGGAGGTGCGTGCATGTGAACATTTTTGCCATTTGTATCATTGAGCTTTACAGGGGAGCAAAAATGCTCTCATAAATGCGACCTAAATGATGCAGGAGGTTTTTCAAGCTCCTCTCCTCCTCCGCCCTCACCACTGCTTTGCGTTTCTCCTTTGCATGGAACAGGTAGCGCCTCCGGCCTCCACGTGACCGATCCGTTAACCGAGTGCATGCCGAACCGTAGAGAGACCTGAATGGATCGCGGGTCAATGATGATCCATTGGTTGCACCCCTAGGGCGCGGCCACGATGTACTTAAAAGCCTGGACACAGGGGGAGGTGAACGCCGGTATAAATGACAGACAAAGCTTGGGCACCACCCGGGCTGTAAGTCTTCAATTATTTACCGCCCAACGAGAAAATTTACCGCCAATGGCGCTCGGCAGTTTACGTTTCCACACCTGATATGACAAGGAGGAAGCAACCAGATGATGAGTAAGAAGATGCCTAGAACCGAGCCTTGGAGAACTCCTGCAATAACCAGGGATGAACTAGAAGAGTGGAACTGAAGTTGAATGTACTGAGTATGGTCATGTTATGCTCTCGTTACTTATTACTCTTCCCAAACTGAATTTGCTACTTGGGGGCTTTAACTTGTTCAAAAGCTCATAAATTTAGCATGTGTCAGTTGTGGAGTATTTTAAGGATTAGCTCAAAATAGAGGAACAGCGCCCCTAGCAAGGCCCTAGTAAATGAAGATTTAGCCTCAAGCCACGAGTCACATCGAAACTTTAGAATGATTAAAAGTCTTTGACCCTTGCTTTCAGGAGAGCCGTGGAGATGGCCGAGGCTGAGGGCAAGAGAAGGCCAGCAAACCTTAACGGAGAAACAAAGTGTGAGTTTCCTGGGAAAGCTTGGCTCTTGGGAAATGTGGAGAGGAAACTGACTCAAGTGTGCTGTCTTCTGCAGCGGTGGGTCGGGTCGGACTCCCGCAGGTGGTGCGGATTCTGTCAGAAGTGTATGGTGACCGGATGACGTCTCAGAGCGGAGAGTCTGAGGGAGAGAGTTTCCCTCTGCAGCAGAAGCTGCTGGTCTGCTGCCTCCTGCTCCTCACCAGCAAAGGAAAGGGCAAAGAAACCCATCTGGGGAAGGTGAGCCTGATCCAACGAATGTTTAGGCAAGGCAGCTTTATTTCTAGAGCACCTTCCAAACACAGGCAGTTCAATGTGCTTTACAATTATCAGGACATGACATAAAAACACAAACTAAAACACACACAGATAGAATTACAGTCTAGAGCTAAAGGAGAAGACAGTTACATCACAGATTACAGTGGAGACGATGCATGGTAAGAAACGATTCATGTAAAGGCTGATGAGTACATGAGGGTTTTTAGGGTTAAACAACACTAGGGCTGGGGCAGGTCTGAGGTCATGGGGAAGCTGATTCCATATGTGAGCAGCACAGTAACTAAATGCATCTCCACCATGTTTGGTTCTGACCCGAGGTTCTACCAGCTGATTGTTTCCAGGGATCTCAGAGCCCTGTTGGGTGTGTATACAGGGATGAGATCGGACATGTTTTCTGGTCCCATGCCATTGAGTTATTTATAAACTAGTAGGAGCACTTTGTAGTCTATTCTGTAGTTTACTGGTAACCAGTGTAGGGATCTAAGAACAGGAGTGATGTGCTCCGTTCTCTTAGTTCTTGTTAAGACTCTAGCAGCAGCATTCTGAACAAGACATCACCTCGGCACCAGAGGAATTCAGAGGTTTTTGTGTTTCAGCTCTATGAGGTGTACAGCCGTGTGTGTGGTCAGAGACACGTGCCAGCAGTCGGGCAGGGCGAGTGTCTGACGCTCTGCAGCCTGCTGGAGAGTCGGGGAATCTTTGCCCTCAAGAAGGCCAAAGAGGCTCGTCTCACTAAGGTACAAACCTGACAGCTGGTCGGAGAGGACACACACACACACACACACACGCGCACACGCACACGCGCACGCACACACACGTCAGCTGTTTGAGCAGAACTTGTTTGCTGTTGCAGGTGTTTCTGAAGATTGAAGAGAAGGATGTTGAGAACGCTCTAAAGGACCGAACGCTGCTGGGCAGCATCCTCTCTGCTGGACTAACCTCATGATGTCTTCTGTTAGATTTTTTTCTGTCAGTTTGGATCTTTACTTTTTTATTCTCTGAAGCAGAAGCACTGTTCTACTGGATCGCTGTGCTGTGAAGAGATGGTGTGTTTTCAGATTTTTGAAAGTCTCTTTTGATGCTGTAAATAAACATTCACTGACACACATCCTTTCTTTACATTTATGGGGGGGGAGGGGTCTCTCAGAACAGAGCCAGGTCACCCCATCAAGGTGAATCAACCTCTGGAACTCGTACTATTTTTAGGAGTGCCTTGACTCAGCCCCCTCACCAGAAAACTGGAGCACTGCAAACACTTACCTCCTCCATAATATAAACCTAAAATGTTGGTGAGAGGTGTGTTATCAGAGGAAAAATGGTGTTGTCTCTGGTCTTAAACTACTCAAGTTGTTTTTCTACCTTCCCAGTTTGTTAAATGTCTGACTGGACAAGAAGTACGCCACCAAGTTGCCTTGTATTTCAATCATCCACACTTGATTTACCCATAATGCATTAGGGGAAATTCTGTCTCCTGCAGGACCTCGTCACAAATCTGATCAGGTCTTAGACAATGCACAACTTTTATTCTTTTCTCTCCTGCAAAGTCTTCTCCCAGCACCAGCAAATTATTATTGAAGATCTTCACCTGTTACCCTGGCAACTGACATTCCTCTGATCTCACTCCTCCTTCAGATAAGATGGGAGACACACTAGCTAGCGCTAGATGACTTGCGACCTAGCCGTTCCTTTTGAACATGTTTTGGTTGACCTAATCTGTACCAGGCCTTCACATAACAAGAATCTCCTCAAGCACAGGCTGAAACTTTAGCAATATAAGCGTGCATGAACCAGATAAAGGTCTAACTCCGTGCTAGGCTGTAACAATCACAAGTGAATCATCCAGAATCAAAGAACATAACATGTGCATCGTTCGATTTAAAGGTATATAAGGCAGATAAAAACACTGAAATGAATATGATGATTAACATACAGATGATGATTTAACTTGTTTTTTCAGGAGATGTAACACCAATAAAGAATAAGATGACATAGTTAATCGATCACAACAGACTTAAAAAGTAATATAAATGATAAATGATCCGCACTCTCAGAGTAAGGACTCCAAAGCACTTTACAGTGTATCATTCATCCATTCACACACACATTCACACACTGATGGTGATGAGCTACAATGTAGCCACAGCTACAAATCAACAACAAAAAAAGATTAAGAAATAAAATACTTAAGTATTCAGGAGTACATGTGTGATCAAATATTATTTTTTATTTCACTACTAATGCATTAAATATTACCTACACTTAACTTTGATTAAAATTATAAGAACAGATGTTTAAAAACCAAATATAAAAAAAATAAACAAAAAGCTAGTTAAGACAATGAGCGACAATAAATAATAAAACCAGGAGGGTGTGCAAAGAAACTCACAGGGAAAAGGCTAACAGGTAAAAATGTGTCTTCCAACAAGATGTAAGCGCTTGGCGAGACTTTACATGCATACGTGAAGGAACACAGAAATGCACTGCCTGGCCAGAAGAATGTCCAACCTGGATTAGCTAAAATCGGTTGACTTCATTGTTATCCTCATTAATGTACACACAGCACTCTGTATCAACAAAAAAAACAACTTTAGAAACCCTCCACAAAAATAAACAATAATGAACAAGAGTCTGCTTCTAGACCTGCAGAAAGAGAGGGAAAAAAGGGGATACAACAAGATCCAGCCATCACTGCGTCAACTTGATGAAGACATGTATAATCAACATTGTTTAACTGAACAATCACACGATAATAGATCACAGTGCATTTAGTGCCCACCACAGCCTTAAGACATGTGCTGAACGTACCCAAGTCCATACTTATGAGAGCACAATGTGAGCACCTGTGTGTGTACATGCACTTGTTTATGTAAGGTTTCTCTATAGGAGCGTCCAATAGAGAGTGTGAGGGGCCACAGATCTGCCCCCAAAGATGAGTAGGAGATGGAGGGAGCTCCAAGTCCCAAAGATCCAGGAGCTGCCCCAGAGCACAGGAACTCCAGGGAGACCGCGACCAGAAAAGCCCCCCGCCCCCCTCAAGAGGCGCAGAGGATCGCCCCGGGGGGCCACAGCCGGCAGAGTCCCGGGAGATATTGGTGGCAAGCCCACAGGCCCGCCCACAGCCTCCCACCCCCTAACCGGCTGAGCCCGGGAGCCAATGACCCGGGACCCAGGGGCGACCACCCCCGTCGGGGACCCAGACCCCACCAGGCAGCCACTGGGGTTAAACTCCCTGACCCGGTAGCCATGACCCAGGCAGACCAAGGCACCACACTCCACACCAGGTGTGGCAGGGAGAAGGGAGACGAAGATCTATATCATCAAAAGAAGTCCCAGGAGAAGGGAGGAGTCAAAGGCCCCACCTGACCATCTTACATTGGTGATCTTCTTAGTCCCTACACCCCCAGCAGGTCCCTGAGGTCCAGTGATCAAAGCCTACTGGTTGTGCAACGCACCAGGCTAAAGACCAAACTTGTCAGTTTCTGCGTCCCCACCTCCTGCTCGCCGTATGGTTAGTTCTCGTTTTCTTAATGAGAGCACAGCTAGCAATTTTTCTGCTGCTTTTGATCACCCTGTTCTTCTGATAACGACCCAGATTCCTTAACTTCTCAGTTTAACGAGCACTGCCTCTCCATCCTGGACAACATCTGTCCTGTCAGAACCAGATCAGTTCCTGCAGTGAACCCTACTCCCTGGTTTAATGACAGCCTTCACAGCCTGAAGCGCCAATGCAGAAAAATTGAGCGTTTGTGGAAGAAAACCCATCTCCACGTCCATCTGCTGCACCTAAAGGATCTTCTGACATCCTTTAACTCTGCAGTCAGAGATGCTAGGGTTTCCTATTTCTCCAACCTGGTGTCCCAGAGCAAAGGGAACCCCAAGGTGCTGTTTAACACCATCAGCAGCATCGTCTCTCCTGCCTCTCCTACAGCCTCCATCCACTCTGTTGCAGACTGTGAGAACTTTCTGTCTTTCTTTGTGGACAAAGTCAGTAAGGTTAGATCTAGCATCTCTCCTTCAGCCTTATCGCCGCCTCTCCCGACTCCAACCAGGCCCATCATCCTAGATAGCTTTGCTCCTGTTTCGTTGCCTGAGTTAACCAAACTAGTTAACTCTATGAAGACCTCTGCATGCCCCCTCCACATCTTACCCTCATCTTTGTTTAAAAGTGCTTTTCAGTCCATCGGTCCCAGCGTGCTCTCTATAATTAATGCTTCTCTGGTCTCTGGTCAGGTCCCTGCTTACTTTAAGAATGCTGTAATCCACCCGCTTCTTAAAAAACCGAGTCTCGACCCCTCTCTCCATAGCAGCTTCAGACCCATCTCTAAACTTCCGTTCATCTCCAAGATCTTGGAAAAGGTTGTGGCTAAACAACTCACAGCTGCTCTTGATGAACATAACATCTATGATAGCTTCCAGTCAGGTTTTCGTAGGTTTTCGGCTGAGATTCATGCAATGGCACAAAAGATGGATGCGATCAAGAAGCGAGTGGACGAATCAGCACGGAATGGGATAGATTAATTTACGCCATTATTGGATTCAGAGGGGTTGAGGACCAACGGAACTTTAAGACAGAGAGGAAATTATCTCTGTCTGGCCCCCAAACAATTTCTTATCTGAATCTGGTGCCCTTGAGCCTGTGAGGCTGAAACGAATACACCCCCCCCCCCCCCCACCACCACCACCTCAGAAGAAATGTGGAATGCTGCTGTCGCCATGGCAACTCTGTCTTCCTATCCCAGCCTGGGTGGGACTGCCAGCTGTGAAGGCCGCTGAATCGTTCCAGGAGTCACTGTGCCCTCTAAACCCAACAACCTCCCACCCCTGTCCAGACTGAGGTGATGAGCGCTGCTTATCGCGGCTGCATTCACTGACATGTGGAGAGTCCCAAACCCTACCACCTCACCTAGTGGTCACTTATGTTGTGTTATGTCTGAAGTCTGTTGCATTTCTGTCTGAGGTGTTTTTTGCACTAGCAAAGCTGCCCTCCCAGTGGAGGGTAACTGAAGTGCCTTTTTTTCCTCCATCTGACCCAATCCTCATGTAAACCCCTCTGATCTCTGTTAAGGTAGCTCAACTCGGGTTGCGAATGACCACAATCACCAGTTCTTGTCATGTGTCTTTGTCTTTGCATACGTATGTCTGATCTCAGAATTGTGTGTACTGAATTTCTAATTTCCCTCTGGGATTAATAAAGTATCTTTGAATTGAATTAATTGATGCTGCTAGTGGTTCGGTAAAGATAGCAAATAGTGAGGGTGAGAGTGGGCATCCCTGCCTGGTCCCCCTCTGAAGACAGAAGCTAGTTGATATTCGTCCTGACACGTGCTGTTGGTGAATTGTATAATGTTTGTAGCCAGTTTTTGAAGAAGTTCCCAAAACCAAATTTATGTAAAGTTGCAAATAAGAACTTCCAGTTAACCCTATCAAAAGCCTTTTCTGCATCCAGAGATAATATACTAGTTTCTGTAATGAAATAGATTACAGTTTTTTAATGAGCCATAAGGCGTGGGATTCCATAGGAAATATGGAATCCACTTTACGGATCGGTGGGTTATTTAAACCAGAAGATTGGATCTTTTTATTGCAGGGATTATATAACCGTTACGTATTCACTCAGAGAAAACAGAATAGAGTCAAGTTTAAAAGTTAAGAATTTTATTACTAACAAATTAAACTAGACTGACTTTAAAACTAAATGTATAGTGTAACTAAAATGGATGGGACGGTGAATGGGATGACGTGTGATGTTAAATCAGAACCAACAAATCCGAAGAAGCGATTGTTCTGACGGGAACTGAAGATGTTGTTTTCGCATTAAGCTTTGGTTAGGAAGTTCAGAAACACATGAGACACCATAATGCCGGTCTACCTACCCTTCGGGAAGTCCTCTGTAGATCAGGAATATTAAGGTCCTGTGGACCCTCTCTGGAACCGAGCCGGTAGGAAAAGCCGCGGTTCCGATCAAACCCGTGTAGTGAACCTGATTAGGCTCTGTCAATTATGTAGAGTAATGGTTTATGCTCTTTTATGAAAGAGGAACCATTCTACATATTAATTTGATAGAAGACTCAAAGGTTGTTTTCATCGATAAACTGTCAATAATATCTGTGGGTCTGTGTTTCAGTTCAATGAAGAGACAAGTTTGAAAGTTAAAAGTTTTAATTCTTCAAATTAAACTAATGATTTTGAAATGACAAGCATAGGAATAACAATCAACAATGGCAACTTTGTTGAACAATCTTTAACAGTTGATATTGTAAACTTGCTCAAATAGACCTTGTGTTGGATGTGCTGAAGATTGAGAGTGATGTGATTATGGATGCGTGTGTGCAAAATGTAGTGAAAATTGAGAATAAGGTGAGATGAGTGTGTGTGTGCGTCTGATTTTGCTTCAGGAAGGAACAGGTGTCTGAGTGAAAAGTGATGGTTTGAATAAACTTAGGTTCTGTTGGAAAAGATGCATCAACGCTATCTCTCGTGGACTGCCTCACCGTATTCGGAGCCTCTTTTAGACCCGGGACGTCAAAGGACGATGTTTCATCCAGGGGTGACACCTTGGCTGACAGAGAAGACGAAGGTGTGCTCCGACCCAGTCCAGAGATGACCTCGGTACACGTGATGATGAAGCGTTTGCAGATGCGCTTTCTTAAGTTTAAGTTACTCAGAAAATCAAAGACTCTGGACGAGTCTGCGTTAGCGGTTGCAATTCAGCGATTCCTGTCTGGCTTGGCAGGAACAGCGTGAGGGGGGGGGGGGGGGGGGGGCAGGAGCCGCAGGCTCCCTTCCCCGGGTGCGTGTTCAGCACGTCCGAACTCTCTCGTTGACAAACTCGAACTGAATCATGAGACTGAAACTTACCAAACCCAGTTCTCTTCTCAAAGCAAACGTGTGCATCAGCAAATGTGTTTTGGAGTTTACTGTGAGAGTTTGTGTGTGTGTGAGTGTTTGAGTGAGTGTTTGAGTGTGTGAAGGTCATTACCAAACATCCTCAAAACATTATTTAACTAAGCATTGATTCATTAGTTATTATGATTACCCAAAGCATAATAATCATTCATTTGATTAAAACACATTTATAATGAGCAAAATGATAATAATGGTTATTCACATTTAATATAAAGAAAGGGAAGTTTAACTTTGTTATGTTATGACTAGCTTTTCCATGAGAACACATCTTCTGGCACTGCAGGTGTTCAGATGTTGTGGTTTCTCCCAGACTCTCTGGCGTTCAGGTCTTAATCTGTGGGTGAAAGTTCTCAGCGACCCAGCTCTTGACCCAGCCGGGCAAAGTATAACCTTTTGCACAGAAAACCCATATTTCCTCACGTTACACCCATCTTGAGTTACTTCTGGGTACACGACAAGTTATTGGCGCCTGGTGAGACCCAAGCCTGGGTCCGGACGGTTGAGCTTTTGTTCTGAAAGGAACTGTTGCCGCTGTTGGAAGAGCGACTGGATATTTCAGCTTGTCGTTGTTCTTTCGGTTAAAGAGTTAAAAGATCGGAATTGGCCACTTCGTCACTTTCTCTGGAATGCTTTGAACTGGCGTTAGAGCTGACATGGCATAGTTTTATACTTCGGATGTTATGGTTTATTGTCGAATGAAAAATTACCAAACACCATCAGAACCACGCCTCCATCAGATCTGTCAGATTCTGATTGGATCAGTGAAAGGAATGTGTCATGTCTTTTAACGCTACGTGAAATGAGTCCTGTTGGAACACTTAAAGTCACAGTACCTTTATATTCTATAGGATCATAATAAAGTAATTAATATTTTGATTTCACAGGTCAGTCACATCTTATTTATTGACTAACACTTTGATGGATTAGCTTTATTAAAATAGAGTTCTTTGTATAATTAAAAGAGAAGAGTTCATTCTTCGTTCTTCTGTTGAGCTGAAAATAAGCAGGTTAGAAGGAATGCATGAGACCTTGAGACTATCTCTCATGCAGACTAGTCTTGAGCAAAGAAGGGAAAAAACACGGTCTTCCGTTCCATTACATATCCCGCCTTTTCAATGGTACGGTGGTCCGTGCAGAGACCACCTTGCGTTGAACAAACCAGAGTCCTACAGGGACTCTGATGACAAGGGAAGGTGCAGCTCCCCCGGAAGAGGCCAACAGTGGTGAGGTACAAACCCCACTCCGAAGAACAGTCTACGGTTTCGACAGTCTCGCTTAATCCCTTTGGAAGCACACAAGTCAGCAAATTAGTAAGGTATCCACATGGGGTAATAAGTTGAAGCAGGAGCAAAACTGTATGTATCCACGGGTAGGGAATAATTCCAACAGTATATTGATCTTTGTAATTGCACTTATCGTGATTCAGTGTGGGAAAGAGCAGCAGGCAGTTCAGGTCCCAGTGAGCGAAGTATCCCAGCAGCCATGCTGGAACAAACGGTTGTCCAGGTCCTACGAGCCGGAACACCCATCAGGAGGACGAGCCGGAACACCCAGGGAAGTGAGGATCATCAGCGAAACTCAGGAGAGGAGAGAGAGCACAGCACAGGGCACCTCAGTGTAGACACAACATGATGGCGTCTAATGCAAATCAACAAACAAAAAGAAACCTAACACTGTGAGTACCTCTGTACTATGTGTAGGTTTTACGTGAATTAACTTGTAAGTGAAGAAATGGGTGCACTGCCACTGCATGTACTGCAAAATGTGGTGCTGAAAGCATAAAATTAATCAAACTATCTGGTATGAGAGAAATCACTGCACTAAATATAAACTCTATAAGAATGAAGGGCAAAAACTGGTTGTAGCCCTTTAAGGTAAATTAATTAAATCTGTCGTTCTCAAACTTAATTACCCTAGCAAAAGTGCTATGAAAAGATAGTTATGTAAGTGTCAAAACACTAAAAATGTAAATCAGTGAAGTTAGTAATCCCTAACTGTGAATGTACCCATAAGGAATTATGATTAGTAAAAATAAAAAAATTAAAAAATTGGATAACAGTAATATGTGGACTAAACCCATACTGTTAACTAACTGATTACCTGACTTCAGGAACCCACAGCATGTTCATCTCCATTCACCCAAGTCTGCACGTCATGTATAAACAGGAAAGATAACCATGCACACACACAAACATAGACAAACTTGTGTAACTCGAGATAGAGAGCTATGGAACCGACGAGGTGCGAAATCACCCCCCTTTCGAAGTCGGTAAGGTGTTGGTGGTAGAATTGACCAAATTAGTGGAGCCCTTGTGCAGTGTGGCAAGGTGGATAAACGAGGGCCCGGGTGGGATTCGACCCCCAGACTCCTGGGTGAGTGTCATACGCTAACCAGTCAGCCAAAGGGACATCCCCTTGGCCAAGTAGCCAGGGCGCATGATCAACCGGGACATTCTGACAGGACGCTCACACTGTCACATCAGTTTGATTTGGTCCCTGTGGACCCATTTGTAGACAGACTTCTTGTCTGTTTGGGTAATCTTGATCTGATACACGACTGGAGAGAGCTTATCTGTTATCAGGTATGGGCCTGACCACTTGGGCAAAAGTTTCTTAGCCAGCTTCCCAGAGGTGTTCTTGTTGTTACCAGTTTTAGGAGTGAAAATGTAGAACCAGGCATCATCACCTACGTTGAGTTCAGAATGTGAGGCCTTCTTATTGTAATAAGCGTCATGGCCCTGCACTTGGGTCGCCTCTCAGCACCAGATGGAACAACTGAGACAGCAGCAATTGAGGGGGTACTGGAATTGTAATTTAAATGAAAGATCGGGGCTCCCCCTGAGCCCACCTACATGACAACGTGACCTGCATCCACCTTGGCTGTAAACCCCTTGGAAACAACTACATCAGGACACAGCGAAGAAGAGACCCTGGGAAAGGATAGACTACTTCAAGCACCTGCACCCAAATCTCCAGACTGGTTTCACGGTCACGGTAGGACCTTTTCAAGGACAAGATCAGCTCCCTGACATTTTGACAACTGCCACGGAACACCCTGCTAACTTTTCCACCTCTACAAACAACTATGTTGTGTATCTATCTCCACTCGCAGAGCAACACAGAGACACACAGGACAAACAATCATGCACACACACACACACCTAAGGACAATTTAGACAGACCAATTAACCTAACAGTCATGTTTTTGGACTGTGGGAGGAAGCCGGAATACCCGGAGAGAACCCACACATGCACAGGGAGAACATGCAAACTCCATGCAGAAAGATCCCAGGCCGGGAAGCGAACACAGGACCTTCTTGCAGCAAAGCAACAGCTTTAACCACTGCCCCACTGCGCAGCCGCGTTCAATTTCAAATATATAAAAATGTGGTCTCATTGTAAACAAAGTTTTAGCTGGAGTTTGACATACATGTGTTTTAGCCACAAACTGATACAAAACTGGGAATTCTATGCAAGTGTGTTGGACTGTACGTGGCCCCTCAAATATATTGAGGCCCATCGATGGCCCCACTCTCGGAAAAATCGTAAATCCGCCACTGCTGCAGCCAGGTGTACTTGCCCGCTGTGACTACTCAAGGCAGCCACAGGAAATTCCATTTAAAGCTGCTACTGCCACAATTTGAGCTCGGCCCTGAGCCTTACTGCGCACTTTCTCCAAGCGCACTTAGCTGAATACCGCAATGCGAGTATTGGGATCGGACCACTGGCCAGACTCTTCTGACACTTTCATGTCAAAAGCTGTACTTTTCGACAGCCCATGAACGCAGCGCTCCACTCCTCCATTTTGAACAGGTCGTCTCGTTTCCTGGTTGCTGAGAAGGAACTGTTGGAGCCAGCGGGCAAAGCAGTTGTGTTTTTAGACCAGGAGAAATGGAAAAGTTTAGTGTAGCTGCCTAAGTTAGCCAACAACTGTCACGTTAACGTGTTTAGATGTGTGTCTGATGCTCCGCGCGTTAGCACACACTTTTCTCATGGGACCCCGTTTGTTTTGACTCTTGACAGCTGGAGACTTAACATCTCAGTGCTAAGCAGCTAGCCGCGGCTAACAAGTAAGTAAACGGGTCATACGCAGTAAACATTAGCTCAGCAATCTTTATCCTTCTGACCCGTCCTCACGACTTGCCAGCAGCATTTACATTTAGGTAAACTACGTTGTCGAAGGATTGCCACGCCAGCCCATTTCCCTTCATGTGTGAGAAGAGTGGACAACTGAAGCTCCAGTTAGAGCCACGGTCAGTATATGGAAGCTAACACCGCTAGCTGCCTGCAGGTATGTTGTTCTACCTGAGTTGGGAGCGGCCGACTCGGCCTGACAGGACCTGTTACCACGATGGTCTGAGAGTAGCGTTCAAACTTTGTTTATGAGTCTGACAATAGAATAGAATAGCCCATATTATTGTTGTACAGGGTACTGCGAAATTACAGTGCTCTACCTTTGGTGCAAAATGTAAAATAATACAGAACAATATAAATGTAAAAAGTACAAGTATACACACAGAGTAAGCATTAGTCGGGTTCTGTGCAGGTCACTATTGAAGCAGAATTTTAGCATATTGAGTAAACACAATGGCACATAGAAATGTTATTGCACGTGATCAATATTGATCAGTAAATGTGTGGTTCGGGTTAACAGGTTCATCTGGTTTTGTGGTTGTTAACTACGGTGATACCTCAGGGAAAAAAGCTATCCCTGAATCTATTTGTCCTGGTCTTATGTGACCTGTACCGTCGGCCTAATGGTAACGGGTCACATAGATGCTGGGGCAAGAGTAGTCCTTAATGATATTAATACAATAATAATATATTTTATTTATAAAACGCCTTTCTGGTCACTCAAGGACACTGTACAGAATTAAAACACAAATCATTCAATAAAATAAAAGTAGACATAAGTACAACATAAGCAAAACAAATAAACAAAAATAACAAACAAGGCACTCTAAAATTCAAGGTTGATATGTGGTTATGAAGAGGTGAGTTTTGAGTTGTTTTTTGAATTCTGTGAATGAGTTAATGTTCTTGATGAGAGGGTGAAGGGAGTTCCAGAGTTTGGGAGCGGTGCAGCTGAAGGCTCTACTCCCCATGGTGCTGAGACGGAAGGAGGGCACAGAGAGATGAATGGAGGAGGAGGACCTGAGGGAACGGGACGAGGTGACGATGTGAACGAGATCTGTGAGGTAGTGAGGGGCGAGGTTATGGATTGCCTTGAAGGTGAGAAGGAGAATTTTGAAGTCAATCCTGGTTTACACTGGAAGCCAAATGGAGCTGTTTGAGAATGGGGTGATGTGATGAGAGATGGGAGTTTTAGTGATGAAGAAGAAGAAGAAAATATAATTTCTATAGCGCCTCTCAAGATAAAAATCGCGAGGCGCTTGATGATGATACGTGCTGCAGCATTCTGAACCAACTGGAGCTTATGGAGGGTTTTCTGAGGGAGACCTGAGAGAAGGGTAGGCTAGTGGTAGGGTAGGGTAGTGCCCAGGTAGTGGTAGGGGTTGCCACCCTCCCTCCCAGGGCACCCTGGATTGGTGTCTTGGCTGCTGCCATGGATCTGCTGCAGTCGAGGCAGATGGCTCCCTTGATGGCACGTCTTTCATTACCTGTCCAATCTGAGCTCAGCCTAGTGCTTACTGTGGTCTTTTAATGTGTTATGTGGATGAGTGTGTGTGCCTGGGAATGGTTTGTGGATTGGGGGTGAAACTGTCACAACTGTTTTAAGTGTGGGAAAAGGAGGTAATTTGGGTTATATGGGTCATTTTAATCTGTTAATAATTTTGTGTTGCTTCCTGTGCATGAAAAGTGCTATATAAATAAAGTTTGATTTGATTTAGAAGAGAGTTGCAGTAATTGATATGTGATGTAACCAGACTATGAACGAGGAGCAGAGTGGACATCAAGGGAGGGGCGAAGACGATTAACGTTACGAAGATGGAAATAAGCTGACCGTGTGATGCTATTGATATGAGATTGGAAAGATGGTGTGCTGTCGAGGATGACACCCAGACTCTTGACCTGGGGAGAGGGGGAAACTGAGGTGTTGGTGTTATCAATGATGAGAGAGAAACTGTCAAATTTTGAGAAGGTGTTCGTGGTACCAACTAAAAGAAGTTCTGTTTTGTCTGAATTTAATTTTAGGAAGTTTGAACTTAAGTGGGTAAGATCATACTTGACTGGGAGGAGTTTTTGTGTGAGGTTGGGGAACTGTTCCTCCGACCTGGCTGAGCTGCCTTGGGGAGTGCCCCAGGGATCGATTTTGGCCCCACTATTTTTCTCCCTATATCTCCTACCCCTGGGTGACCTATTCCACAAGCATGACGTGTCATTCCATCTATATGCTGACGATTGCCAGGTCATTTTTTCCAATTAGGCGTGGTGGTTTATGCACCATTCAACCTCTGTTGGACTGCCTGGAGGACATCAAGCTATGGTTGGCTCAGAACGTCTTGTGTTTCAACAAAAACAAGACTGAAGTAATTCTGTTTACTCCACCAAAGACCCTAGGAGGTGCCCAAGGGCTTGATTTTTCCACACTGGCACCGCATCAGAAGGCGGTGGTCACTAACCTAGGGGTAAAGTTGGACGCAGAGCTCAGATTTGAGGCTCAAGTGAACGGGATCGTGAGATCTTGCTTCTTTCATCTGCGCCGTATAATAGGGCTGCTCAATGAATCGAATTTTAATCACGATTACGATCTGAGTTTTGAACGATTTATAAAAACAAAACAAGCCAATTATTTGCTCCTCCCACTTGCGCTGCCCCGAGTTGCAAATGAAGCGCTCCTCCCACAGTGTTGCCAACTTGGCGACTTTGACGCCGTTTCTAACAGCTTTTCAGACCCCCTTCTTGACTTTTTAAATCTTAAAAGCACCTAGCGAACACCTCAGAAACATCTCTGGTAACCCTTAGCTACTTTCTGGATAACTGTCGTTGACATTTCCTGCAGGTTAGCTAAACACTCTGCCTGCGCTCCGGACCGTTCTTCAGGACATTAGGAAAGGGAATGATGTAGTGATGTGTCAGTCGCTAAAGAAACCGCTCTCGGAGCCGGCTCCCTGTTGGAGTAACCAGAGTGAGTGACACACACACCGCACCTGTGAGCTCCTGAGCCGCTAAAAACGGCTAAATGTGCGCGTGCGGCACGCTAAACACACGTGCAGCTTGCCCCTGATTGCTGTGAGACTGAGTTGGGGGGTGGGGGTGCAGCTGTGGTTAGGACAATTATTACATTAACTGATGAACTTGTAAATAAATAGTTTATAAATAAGGTAGAAATAAGTTCCTCACGCTGATAAATAATAACTAATCTCTCTGAGGACACAGTGCTAGTGCACGCTCCTACAGCACCTTGACATGACTAAATAAATGTTATGCAACATTTTGTGAACATCAATTTATTTGTTATAAATGCCACTGTATGAGCTAAAGCTAAAGCTGAAATAATGGCCAGAGGAGACGGCACTCGGGACATTTATTATCCCTCAATGAAGACAAAGTCGGAAGTATGGGCATTTTTTGGATATTTGAAGAATGCCGAGGGACAGTTTATAGAAGACAGCTATCCTGTTTGCAGCACGAGCAGAAAAAGTGTCTGTGAAAGGCAGCAACGCTACGTGGCCATCATAATGTAGCCTGTCTCACGACTCCGCCATCTCCAGTTCGCCACTTTTCACAGAATCTTCTGGTTGCCACTGGTCCTGGTGGTTTTTCTTCCAGTTCGACGAGTTTTCTTTTGGAAGGCTGGCTGACTCCAGTTAAAAACCGCCACATTTCACCGCTAGTTTTAACACGAAGCTAACCGCTAACTTGATAAACTGATTGAATGGGATAGGTGGAAATGAAGTTGGATGCGGCGTTCACGTTTCGCGTACGTTTGTGTACGTTGCATGCAGGCGGGAGGAGTATCAGAAATCCATGGAAGACGACTGATAAACATAACTAATTTAGTGCAAACATTTACTCGCCAGGTGGCAGGTAGAGCTCAAAAATGTACTCGCCAAATGGAGCAATTTGCTCGCATTTGGCGAGTGGCGAGTTAATTTCGGGCCCTGTCCAAGACCCTCGGGGCGTGGTGGAGGATTGGCAATGATATTTAAGTCATCAATTATGTGTAGGCAGGTATATCCATCCTCTGTGCCTACCAGCTTTGAACTCTGCCTCTGTGAGCTGGGATGCTCTCAGAAGCTACTGGTTGCTCTCCTATATTGCCCACAGAGACAAAACTATGATTTTATAGATGATTTTAGTGCTCGGACCAAGTCTTTGGAATGAGCTGCCAGCCGACGTAAAGCAGACCAAATCATTGGAAACCTTTAAAAGCAGACTAAAAACACATCTGTTCTCGCTGGCGTTTGGACATTGATGTTGGGGGAAGTAGGCCGGATATGGATTGCGAACTTGCACTCAGGATTTCGTATGATATTTTAAATGGATTTCTTATTGTATTTTAAATGGTTATATGTCTGTCCTATTGTGGTGCTTTTTATTGGTTGTACAGCGCTTTGTTTGTCCATTTTGGCCATGTGAAAGCGCTTTATAAATAAAGTTGATTTGATTTGATTTAAAGTCAGACATGAAAATAATAAATAAATTTTACATGAATAAGTGATGCTTTGCCTGGTGGGGGGAGGAAAATCTGGCCTAATAAGCACTGGAGGAAACCCTGTCAAGATTGTCAACACTCGTTTATCTTAATGCTTTTGAAACATGTAAACAAAAAAGCATTATATCAGGGGTGGACATTAACTTCAAAACCGAATATTTACCGGCCCCGCTGGTCAGCTGCCAAAACGAGTCAAAATAACAACTGAACCGTTTTAAATGTAATAAACCTTTATTTTGTACACATTCACAAACATAATAACGTATTCAAGTTTGAATTTGTTTGTTCCCTCAACAAAACACAATTTTGTCGTTGCATACTTCCGGCATACAACGCAGTACATCACCAACTCCGCTTTGCTGTATTCGAGCCATTGACTGTGTTCGAGAGGAGCCAGTTCTGTGCAGATTAGACCAGCAGTGATTGGCGAGCAGTGCATGCCGGTTAGATTTGTGTCCGAATTGACGCCGACTTGCTCTGACGTCATGCATACGTAGACAACGATAACCTCGTGAGATCAAGGCGGCAGCAGATTTTGGAGCAAGGCGCTGCAGTTGCTCTCCCTCGGCTGCAAAACCTAGGGGATGACGGGAAACGCCTGGCCCTCACCTGATCTAAGATCTGATTGGTTCA